ACCAGTCGGGGGGTTTGTTGGGTTAAGGAGAGGTGGTGGGGTGGCTGATTAATATTTTTTATCTGATTTGTTTTTTGTTTTTCTTTCTTAATTTTTTTAACCAATTACTAAAACACATGGCATTTTAATTTTTTTTTTTAAAATAACCCTTTCAACCGGTCACAAGTTAATTGGCTTAAAAGTAAATGCCCCCCTAAAGTTGAATTATTAAAAAATAATCGAAATTTGGGATTAATAATAGTAAATGGCTCAAAGTTGGGTTTAGTAAAACCAATTTTTCCTTATTTTTTTTAGGAAATTATGTATGACATGTTAATATAATATCTCTCTTTTCTCATCCCTACTCTTAACTCCTCTTCTTTTAAATAAAAAATTATTCTTCCCTTTTACATCTTTTACTATTCAATAAAATATTAACTTCACTATATTTTCTTACATTATTTGAATACCCAAACTTTCCCACTTACATCTTAGTATTATAATAATGTCAATTAAACCTCCTAAAATTTGTGCAGTCAAATTTTAACACTTGGAAAAAAAGGTGTAGTATAATGCTAGTTTTACACATGGGATGGGTCTCCTTGTGGCTTTGTTCTTACCTAGAGAATAATTTTAACATTATTTACCTGTAGTTGGTAATCACTTTTTTAACCTTCATTTTTTAGGTATTATATTGGAATTGGGTATCAATGGTAAAGAAAAGTGAGATGAAAGCATTGTTGCTTATATTGGATACTTAAAATAGCTAATTTATACTTCAACTGATACACCCATTGTACATGCATCATTCCCATTCCAAGTGTAAACTGCAGTGAAGGCCTTCCCTATGTGGCATTTGGGGGTGCTTTAATCATATATAAATGACTAGTTTTTTTATCTGATGCTATTCACCGGAGATGGAAAGGTTTTACTCAAATTAAATGAATGAGGGGCTCAAATTAAAATAGTGCTAGGGTGCCGGGGGGGGGGGGGGGGTTGTTTGGAGTTGGGACTGAAACAGATATTGAAAACTGAAAATAAGTTTAGACTGTAGCAGAAGTCGTCATTTTGGACTAACAAAATATGTTTCTTAATGGGTCTTGAGGTCGATTTAGTTCTCATCAATTTTATCATTAAATTGATTGCAGGGATTACTCCTTCCTGTTCTAGACATGCGAGCTTCCATCTCTATGTATTAAATTACAGTGTATTCTCTTAAATTTTAGACAAAACATGTGTTTAACATCGAGTCACACTGTTAGCGAAGGGGAAATTACAGTTGGTGATGTTTTATGGAAGGCAATCCCTTCTGTAGTTTTACAGATGTTAGTGCTCAAAATTTTGGCTACTCGACATCAGTTACCTAAATGTTGGCTCCATCTAGTTTGACTCTTAAGTCTCATTTGACTGTAATGTAATTTGAGACTCTTTTCAGATGTTATGCAATTATTTTTGTACTGATTCAGACAATTGAGGTAGATATTGGAGTCTGAAGGAAGCATTTGTGAAAGCAATAGGGAGTGGATTAAGGTACAAGCTGGATGCCCTAGAGTTCAATCACATTAATTTGACCAGAATTTCTGTGAAATTACAGAGTGAAGAACTGAGGCACTGGAAATTTTGGCATTTTGAACTAAAGAGGAGGCATTATGTAAGTTTCTCATTTAATTCTCTACATTCTTAGCTACTTTGTCTTGCAATCGAATCCACTTTTTGATTGATGGACAGTGTACAATAGGAATGTGTTCTTACATATGCAAATTTATAGTTGCAACTTTGGTATTGTACAGGATAGTAAGTGTGACTATTCTAGTAGCTTCAATGGCCAAAATTCTCAATCGAGTATGCCAAAGAAATGAATTCAATGGAAATGAAAGTATGAAACATTGTTTCTTCAGGTAGCAAAGTTGATTTTGCCTTTTGGAGTCTTAGCTTATATATGGTGCTCATGCATATGTATGCTGGTAATTAGTATGCTGTTCATTCTCGAATATGAAGTAGATATATAAACAGATATGCATCTATCTGTTCTTGTCTTCATCTCTTTATATGCAAAGTGCGAAGGAGTTTTTCTGTTGTCTATTCTGTCATCTTACTTGGCTTAATGCAACAGGTCTCAATTGCTCGAGGCTCTCCACATATGGCAACTGAGAATTTCAAGAGAACACTTAAACAGACTGATTTCACTGAAGATGAATATGGTTTGGGGTTCAATCTTCCTAATGCAAGTTTTATATGGAGAACTGTGGAGCAACTCATTCCCAATTAATTCTCATCAAGGATTCAGCATTAGCCCTGCTTCTTTAGGGTGCTAGGAGCATGAGTATAGATTTACATCCTGACTAAGTTTAAAATCTGATTAATCTGAGCTGAAGGGTGCAGGACAAAAATATTAATTGCTATGCAGTAAACCAGATAGATCTAGGCCGTGGGAGTGAAATCAAAGATAACTGTAATTTGAGTCAACATTACCATCTTGGATATACAAATATTTAGGCATTTTTCAAATGAATGGCTTTTAAATTTACTTCTGGATTTTCCATTGGTTATGTTGTCTTCAAACAGAGTGTTTAAAATGTGTACTTTTTGCTTTCTTTCTAGGTCACTTTTTTTTTTTTTTCCTCTTTCGCTCAGTAATTGTTATACCATTATATCAAGATGAACTAATAGAATTCTACTAAATTTCATATACAAAGGGAAAGGGAAAGGGAAAAGGTTTGAGAAAGCGAAACAAGGTAATAGACACCAAAACCCCAAAATCTACGGGCTTGCCCCAGTTTATCTTCTAGATAAACATTTGATGTTTATCAAGGAGTAAATAAAGGATATATTTGTAATTTGCACTCTAGTTCATCTTCCTCCTCATCCATACTTCATCCACCTCCATCTTCTTCACGAATCTCTTCCTTCTCCTTCTTTCACCCACCTCCATCCTCTTCATCTATTCCTTCCTTCGATCTCCACTCACCTTCATCTTCTTCTTCAAGTTATTTCAATGGAGACTTTGCCAACATCGGCACCACAATTTCCAACAGCTTTGCCGTTGAATTAAACGAAAACCCTATGAGAAAAGGGAGGAATAAAGGGTATGGTTAACCCCAAATGGTAGGTGAGCTTCCCTCCTCCATTGAAGTTAAACTTTTCATTTTGAAATTGCTTGTGAGCTATTGATCTCCATTAATGGTGAAACAAGAAGCTCAAAAACTGATGTCAGATGTACAAACAGGGAATTAATAGATTTTTTTTTTATTGTTTTTACACAAATATCAAAGAAATTTAATTACCCAATTGCCAATGGATAAACATTGCTTGTTTATCTAGGAGTTAAACTTGTATTTTCTCAAAATCTACACACTTTGTCTTAATATCAAAAAGGGTACCACCACCACCACTTTATTGCTACCGTCACCAACGCCACCCCTCCTTTTTACATTAGTCTCTCTCTCTCTCTCTCTCTCTCTCTCTCTCTCTGAGTATGTGTATTTAAAAGCTCTTTAGATCCGATTGCTTGGCGATTTGTTGTGATGATTGGAGTTAATTTTAGGGTGGTTAGAGTTGCTTAAGGGATGAATAGAGTGGATTTTGGGCTGGATTAGAGGAGGAGAGAGGAAACCACATGCTAAAATAAAAGATCAATTTTACGAATACAAACATGTCTGGTTGTCTTTTAACAATAAATCAATTTTATGATGTATATTCCTTCCAAATCTTTTCAAATTTGGAATTGTTTGTACATGATTAATGAAATATCTCCCTCCCCAAACCCCTATTTCTTTCTCTTCTATTTCCTTCACCTCCTTAATTTAGTATCTGAACAAAGGAAACTGCATCCCTCCCTTTCCCTTCTCTTACTTTTCCCCCAAATCCCTCTATCCAAACAATGTGTTAAGCTCACCCACATCTTTCATGCATGTGGAATTGAATTAATAGAAATGTTTTTTCTAGGATGCACCGTTGTAATATCGTTTTCTTCTATAATTATATCATCCACATATACTGGAATTGCACTGAAAGCTTTTTCGCTTTTTTACAGTATGTTTGGATAACAATAGTGAATCAAGGGAAAGGGAGGGTAAGGAAAAAGAGGGAAGGGAAAGAAAAGGAGAAGTGACCTTCCATTTCTTCCATTGTCCTTCCAAATCTCCCCAACAATGGAGAGATATTTGGTTTATAAAAAGAGGAAGGAAATATAGATCATTCCAATGATCTCCCCTTCCCTCCTTGCATTAGATCAGATATCCAAACAAAAATGATACATTCAATCTTTTCTCTTTTCCTCATTTCCCTCCATTTCTCCCCTCTATTAGACCGTGAATGGGTGGTTTTCGGGGATTGGGGATGGGTTTCGCGGTGGGGGAAGGCAGGGAGTGGATTTTCAGTGGTGGGAGAAAGGGAGAGGGTGGGTTTATGGTGGTGGGGCTATGGAAGGGGGAATTTATTGGCGTGGGGATGGTGTAAAGGGGATGCCAGAGGTGGAGCAATGATGGTGTGGTGGTGGAAAGATAGTAATTTAGGGGTCTTTTTTAATGAATTAGAATTTAAAAGCCAATAATTACAATTTCGCTGGAAAATGATGTCATTATATTATCTTTAAGTCATAAGAAAATGGGAAAAGGTATTTATCATGACAATTAATCAATTTTAAGGGTAGTAAATAGCAATTTTTTTAGGGTAGTAATTGACAAAGACCCTATTTTGAGGCAATAATTGACAAATTTTCTCCATATAGTCATGTCAGATCTTAATATATTCATCTGAATCATGTCATTATAATACTTCATCCGTATTATTATAGGCATCACTTTATATGTATGGAAGTATTAATTTAGATGTATCACTTTCTCTTTAGTCAATAAATTCTCTCTATTTCTCACATATCACATGGGCCCTCTTTATTTTTCTCTCTATCTCTCTCTACTCAAAAAATTATTCAGGAGTCCGCAATTTCAAAAGTGATGCATCTAATAAAAAAGAAAGCAAGTATTACATTAATGTGTTCCGTAAGAAAAGAAAATATAAAATTAATTCAACTTTATTATTTTATTTCTATGAAATATCAAATTATGTACAAATGGAAGCAAGCTAGTACAAAAACAAAAGGGGGGAAAAAGATTATGAAATGATTGCTATTAGTAAAATCTGTGATTTGTTACAAGGGTGGAACTATTTAAATCACATAAACAAATTTTCGTGATATCTAAACCTAAGTATACAAAAAGAATGGGCATAATTTACAAGTGCTGATTTCCTGAGGCATAAATTACACAGCTGGCTTCCTTCCCAGCAATTAAACTATTATCATCAACTTAAGCTAGAAATGTACAGTGTCTTGTCCTCACATAAGCATATTTAACTCAGATAGATCATCCATGGGTATTTCAAGACCCATGGAGTCGTGATCTTGCAAACCATCCTCGTCAAAATTTAACCAAGTACTCAGATCTTGATGTCCTTCAAATTCATTAGCTACACTAAGGTCTTCAATCGAGTCTATTTCACTTAAGGGCAAGCTACTAAGGTCCATAACATCTTTGCACTCTTTCGATGAATCAAGAATGTTTCCAGGAGAGATTAACCCTTCACGTTTCCTATTACTATTGTTAGCAACCATGTCACTGGAAACATTAGCTGAAGGTTGGACTGGATGTGTAGACAACTGTGCAGCCTTTTGCTTAGGTTTCGATTTTGTTTTCCGTTCACCCCTTAAATTAGATATTGAAGGGCGGCCAGCTTTGGCACCGGAATCTCTTTCAGTTCTCTTTCCCTTTGCTCCACCCAAAAGAGATGATCCAAGAGTTGCTGTCGATCTTAGGGCAGTATTTCCACCAACATCATCAAGCAACACTTCCTTCTTCTTGCCTCTGTTCAATATAGGTCCATTCTTTGCAAAAGCATGGTCAGACTGATGAGAAAGAGCTTCATATGCATCAAATGGACCCCGACCAGATTTATCATTTTGAAAATCAAGCTGTTCAGGACCAGCAACATATGCTCCTGTAAACATTAAAAGCAGAAAGTTATTTTCAAGGGGTATGTAAATAAAAATGATAACTTGTGATCAAGGGACTTTTCAGACTCCATGAGTTCAGTTAAACAGTTTCTCATCCTACTTAAGTGGGTGATAGGATGATAATAATTTGCACCCACTTCAAAAATTTACTTCTTTTGTTTAAGTATTCTTTATACTTCCTCCGTTCTTTTTTTATCGCATCACTTACTACTTTAGGAAGTTTACTTATTATTGCATCATTTCCTTTTTAGGATAAAAAATATCTATGTTCACACTGCAAATACCCAACATACCCTTACTTTTTCACACTTACTTTTTATTTTATCTTACATTACATGGACAATTTTGTATTTTTACGTTTCTCTCTCTTACTTTTTCCCACTACCAAATTTTGCCTCCAAAACCCCTATGATGCAATTAAAAAAAAAACGGAGGAAGTATAAGAGACCAGCTAGGTACATGTTTGTGGTATGAGTTAAACCAGAGTCCCGGAGAGACAAGATTTATTTTCACTACAGCTAAAAAAGCTAGTATGATCGGATGTTTTCTAAAATAATACCTGATGATCTGGAGTCCAATCGCATGTTCTGTTCTGCTTGAATGCCACCCGTGTTATTGCTAGGTACAGCAAGAAGAACATCACGAAGAGAAGGCTCACTGAAACAACTCTTCCCTGCGTCTTCAAATTTCCGACACCTAGCCAAGGTTCTTCTAATAAAGGCCAAGGCCACGTGTCTTGAGACCTTAGTGATCCCAATTCTAGCAGCACTGCTTCCACGTGTTGCCTGGTGAGAAAATGAAAGATATCATATTTATGTATTAGATGATAAAAAAATGAATACATATATGACGCAGCAAAAGCACTTCAATTCCACAACTAGTACTGAAGATTCAATATAATAGTGAACACACTGATTTGATCCTATAACTTTCACCTCTTTCTAAAGATTTAATATCACAGATCTAGGAGTTGCTCTTGGGGTTGAACCTCCATTCTTTTAAAATCAGATTTTAGATATCATTCATCTAACTTTGAAATCTAACCACAGAAAAACTCCAACAACACAGTTCACACAAGAGTACAATGGTAGAGAAAGGTTCCAAAATATAACTAGTATAGAATAACTAGATAAATTTGCCGTATTTATCCAATTTACATGAAGGTAAGGCAATGACAGGACAGGGACAGGCACCTAAACATAATCCATGTACAAACAAGAGATGCTTTTACATTGTATCTTGTTCACATTTGACAGCAAGAAAATGGCACAATAGAAACTTCAGCCATTGCAAACTTCATCAATATAAATCTTTCTGTCTCTGATAAGCATCCTCTTTTTTTTCGCTTCATTCTTGATAAAAGTCAAGTTTTTTGTTTCAAATTTATTATTATTATTCCCATCTCAATATAAAGGTCCCATTTCACCCCAAAGATCTTGTCTCCAAATAAAAGTGCCATTTATTCACTGTCATATTGTTATTTACTTTTAATCAACCAATCCCACTCACTTGTTTATTATATTCACCAATAATCAACCAAATCCCACTCTCTTTTTTAATTTACCTTTAATCAAACCAGACCCTACCTTCTTCTATTATTCACCTTCCTAAAAATGTGAGTAAAAGGAAAATGGGACTGATATTTATGGACGGACAAAGAACTACGCACTAACATTCAATTGCTTCCCATCAACAAACTACTTAAAGCACTCATTCATTAATGCATTAATAGACTTGTAGCCTACAGAATTACAGACATAATATTATATTGATATACACACAGAACAAGCAGGGATAATCACTAATATCAACAAAACCACATAGAAATAACTTCAAGATAAACAACATGGCCCGTAAGGGGAAAAAAGTACCAGAAGCTTTCTGTAAGCCAACTCAATTAACCTGTTCATTGCAAGCCGCTCAAGGTCCCTGAAAAAATTTAAATAAAGATTAATTGTAGCACATACATCAGTTAACTCCAGATGGTAAGTAAAAAGTCAATAATCTTACCGTCCTTCAACCTCCTTGTCTTCTACAGCTTTATTTAATTTGTCCAAGTATGCTTTCCTTTCCATGGCCTACAGAATCACAGTATATAATGTAAATTACATATTAAGAGAATACAATTCAAGTAAAGAGAAGTTACAATAAACTATTGTAAATACACTGACGTGGTGCATTAGGGCCTACAGAAAACTAACTAAACCTAGGCAAGCTATTTATTTCTGTAATGCATAGTACTCGTCAAAAAAAATAATAATTTTGCAGTGTAATTTTCACATTATGGTAAATAATCAGGAATCCAAAGAATTGGTGGATTAAAAGAAAGTGAAATTTTGTCGAAGCAGAACTGCATCATCGACATACAAAAGTAAAATAATCTGGAATCTAAGCACAGAAAAATCAACCTGTGAGGAAAGTTGCTTTTTAAGTTGGACGATGTCTTGATTAATCAACTCTTCCTCTCCCTCTGCTAGATCAGGCTGAAAGGAAAAGATAAAAGCGATTAAATTTCAGAATGCTACCAAGCATCACATGTATGGACTTGCATGCAAAAAGGGTTTAGGCTAATGTTAAATAACCTCAAGGTTGGAGCAAGACCAAAAGGAAAATACAAAAGGTTCAACTTTAGATGCTGAAACAAATACATACCACAGTCTCTGGATATAAGCCAATGCTTTGCAACTCAAGCAGTAGTTTATCATCCATGCACATCTGATCATATTCACATTCAAATGAAGAATTACCAGATGCATTCATGTGAATAGCTAGTGACCCATTTGTATCATTTCTGTGAAGCACAGGACCGGCCTGACCAACAGAGTATGTAAAACCGTAATCATCTTCCTCAATTTCATCATGCATAGGAACGTGGATATTTGAGAACCTATGATTGGCATTGCCATTGCAAGATATTCTATCAGCCATACATGGATCATCTCTATTAGCTACAGAAGCAGCATTGCTAAGAAAATGGTTTTCTTCAAAGTCTTCAAAATCATCTTCAACAATGAGAGCAGAGAGGACTCTGTGGTATAATGGGGTGAGGCTGTTAGGCCCTTTTTGAGAGTCTGATCCTCTACATGAAGAATCATAATCCTGAAAGTGATTAATGAAGTCTCCTGTCTTGGCTGATTCTGTCATCCCATTGTCCAGGGTGCATATCTTGGTTTCTCCGGAAACAAAACTTTGTGTCCGAAAATGTTCTATTTCAGTAACATTTCTCTGCAAGATGAGGATGAACAGTAACCACATGCATTTTAAGAGTATATATATATATAGTCAACATTAAAAAACTATAATACAGTGCTACCTTAAAATAACAGAGTAACAGCATATAATGTAGCAAGCAATCCACAACACACACACACACACGCAAAAAAGGAAAAAAAAAAAAAAAAAAAAACAAGTGCCACAAAAAGGTAAGTAAAATAACAACTATAACAACCTAAAACCTAGTACTCAAGTTTACAATCAAAGAGACCAATAAAAAACTAAGTAATATAGATATGCAAGGAATCTTAGTGCCACAAAAATCTCCCTCTGCCTTCTATGAATGAGACTATATTAATCATCCAGAAATTTCGGGATAAGGGCCCTTTATATTTCTGAAAGCTGAAGTTGAACATTGTCCAGCAATGACATACTTTACAGTAGCACACACCACCTATAGCGACATATTTTACAGCTAAGAAAAGCAATTATATTACTTTCATTTGGAATTCACTTTGACAAATTTCTCAAGGCATGTGAAACAGGCACTAGAAAGGTGCTCAACAACTTACTTAACTATCAAAGATTAATCTATGCTAGAAGCACATACCAGAGTATTATCGCCAAAGCTTGTCGACTCACTTTCATTTGAACGATCCTCTGCAATTTTTAGCTGTTACATGTGCATAACCACCAACAACAGCAAAAATAGAATTCAAATTCCAATCAAACAGATACAGGAGCTTCTGCTAAACACATAATACACAAATTGTACACGACAAAATCACCTGTTCTTCCAAAAAGGATTTATCCTCTGGTGTAAAATTAAAAAGGGGTTCCATTCTTTTCCAAAATGAAGAAGAACAGCCATTATCTGCAAAATCAAACACCATTTGTGAAAACAAATCCACATGAAATTACAAATCAGACAAAATTCAGATAGAGGCATACAACTGGCATTGCAAGCAAACTGCGCCGCTGCTAAAAGTTCATCACGGTCATCATCAGATTCACCTGAAACAGCACACAAAAAGCATGTTGGTCATAGAAGTGACAGGCACAAGCAGCCCATGCTTACTGATCACAGTCACAAGTAAAAATCAAGTGTCAACTAAGTCAGTAATTAATTTCCTTTAAAAATTACTTCAACTCTAGTCAGTCAAACACAATAGTGCCAAAAAGATAGTATATTTAATTGTATGAACAATCGATTTCAGGATCAAAACACTAAATTTTATTTTAGGGACAGGCGAACAGCTCAAGTGAAACACTTCTTTTATTATATCATGGCAGATATAATCAGATGTTCTATGATGAACAATTTAAACATTATTCCTGAATGGTCACATACTCGCATCTATTTCTTGCAAATTTGTAATGTCATGTAAATAATAGTCTTAGGACATTGCTATATTTGGTGCTTAGTACATGAGGTGTTTTTGCTAAAATTATAAGAGAAAATCACACTATGGTTACAAAGGTGGTTTTCTCAGAATATATCAGCAAAACACCTCATGTACTAAGCATCAACTATAACAATGTTCTACGACTAATATATACATGACATTCATAAAATTGCCTCAATGACTGGTTAATCAGCTTGGAACTTAATTCTTTCCTTAACTCTGATGTTAAAACTAACCACTGCCCTTGCTCTTGAGAAAAATGTCTATTCAGTTTTTGCAAAAAAAACAATTAGCAAAGGTTACACACCAAATAGATGTCAAACCTGTGAAATCTGGAGAGCTACTATTTGGCAGAGGTCCAAGACGGGTAAATCCCTTACGATCTGATTGCTTTTTAAGAGGAGGACGGCCTGACTTACTGCAGTACATAGAGAAAATAATATATCAGTCTAACCATGTTAGATTATATAACGGGTAAACTCTTGATCACTTAAAACATCTTCACCTTCCATTCTTCTCAGAACCAGGCCTTGCACTCCTAACAGGTTTTCCCATTGTTGGATTATCCAGCTTCTCCCTTAAAGGAGACATGCTACCCTTTGGCACAGAAGAGCCCCTCCCACTTCGACCTTGTCTACGTACACCATCACCAATTTCATCCTTCACAAGCAATTTGCTCTTCTTTGTGAACAAGCCAGAAGGACTAGCATGCTGATGAGAGTTGGAACTTTTATCATCCAACTCAGAACCACCAAGCTCTTTATCCTTGAGTCTGTTGTCAACAGCACTGGTTTCCTCACCTTCAGATAATCTTGCCGGAGAAGATGCATTGTCAAGTTTAGCCTTTAGCTGCTGTGAGCTACTCATTATATTTCTGACAGGAAATGACCCGTTCACAGAGCCAGATATTCTGGTGCTAAAATCATTGGGAGTGCATCCTTCAGATGAAATCTGTGCTTCATCATGATTGGAAGTAGGAGACACAATATTTGTTCTCCGATTACGGGAAATTTTTTGTGGTCTTTGACCCACCCATTGAGCCATTCCAGATGATGAATCGGTAGAGGGTAGGGGACGTTTACGATTATTCACTCCAGCCAAAGAATGGACCTTATTTACATTAAGGGGTTGTTCCCAGTCTTCTGCTGCCCCAGACATTCGCGAGAAGCTCGGAGATGAATTTCCTACAGAGGCAGGACCAGATCGGTGAGCTCTTGAAGCCTTGCCCTTCGTAATGGAACCAGGGCTGAACACATGGGGATCCTCACGCATATTTAACCTAAATGATACAAAGATGAGAGGTCATCATTAAAAATCTAGATCAGCATGCATTTTAAGCTGCCACAAAATTATGATCATAAAAATTTAACTCAAAGCAGTTAGTATCCAAACAATTGGAGCTATTACATACTTAGAATTTCCTTTTGGTAGTAATCGTTCCTTGTTCATTCCAGTAAGTTCCCTAGAAAGTGAAGTCTTGTCCAATTCATTCTTAGGTGTCATACGACCGCTCAAGCTCACAGGTGATGGAGCTCTTTCTAACTTGTTGCTTCCATTAGTACCATTGGAAGATCCGGATCTGCAAGATTTAAACTTTCACAGTTGACCTAATTGCAAAACAGACACGGGAAGAAAGAATTCTCAAGAACAAATGCCAAACTTGGCCGGTTTCAAACTCAGTCTCCATAACCGATAGAGTTCACCTTGCCAATTTTTATAGAGATTGAGCGTGTGAAAGGCAACTAACAAGGCTGATCTAAAATCTGGAATGGACATAGTAGAATTAAGAGATTGACCCATGAATTTATTAAAAAAAAAAAAAAAAAAAAAAGTATCCATCTATAGCAAGATAATTTTATTAATCAGGTCTAGGTACCTATCAACTAAATCAACTATATGCTCCTGGTGCAATTTTTTCCTATCCACATAGAAAAGCATTCTTAGATAACAGGTCGTAGACTAATAATATGACATATGACATATATGTTGACCCAACAGTCACAGTAACACTGCTGGTGCCTAGAGTTCTGTAAAGGCTGCTAAGGAGTACTCAAAACTGATTTCAGTTAGTCTTCCTAAGGGTTTTAGGATTGTATCCTACAGTTCCTTCCTGCAAAAATTTAATCCAGCTCCAAGGCCTTATTACTGTTATCACTGGTCATGCAGCAAGAGGAGTGCAATATACAATGGCCAAGAAAATATAGAAGCTTTTCAGCCATATTAGAAGGCATGAGGCCAAACTTTTAGATCGAAGAAAAAGTAAAACACCTGAAGCCAAGAGCATCTGAAGAGTGAATTCCAGAATCATTGCCAAGCCTACCGTGCATGGTCCTCTTAAGCTCTCCATCACCATCAACCGACCTAGGGAATACACTACTTACTGAACGTTTTCTTTTCATTTTTTTGTCCCATCCTTCTCCACCAGCAGGTAATCTGCGAATTTTTTCTTCACCAAGTTCAGAGCTACCCTCCTTAGGTCCATCTTTATCCTTTCCCATCACTAAATGTTGCCTTGGGACTCCATTGCTCCGTCCTTCTGACTGAAAATTTTAAACAACCAAAAATTAATGGAAGTTATACAGATACATCAACAGTTGCAAAGCACAACTGTCAACATAACTCAAAGCCACTGGAAATAAGAGCAGGGCAAATTTCCCCAACAAACCCCATAGATTACAGCAACTAATAACTAAAATTAACCGATTGAGGACAATCTAAACAAAAGGCTAATAATGGAAACAGAACTGGGATCTGGGAATGTAAAAGCTCATTTTGACAGAAAAGGCAAGAGATGTGCCCTCCTTTATATTTCTAATCATCAATATATGTGAGATTCAAAAAGGTATCTTTCAGTCTTCAGTGATTAGCAAAAATAAAGCACAGTCAATCAGTCATTGATAATGCCAATAAAATTACTATGCATATGATACTTCCCTACCTTTTAAAAAGTTCAAGCAAACTCTTATGAATAGTGTGCAGACATGTATACCATAAAAATGTTTGTTTATTTTTTTCCCTCATTCATGTTATGAAAAGTGTGCGGACATTTATACCCCTAAAAATGTTTGTTCATTTGTTTTCCCTCATTTATGTTAATTGCCTCTTTTTCGAATATTAGAGAATAGTGTGCGGATATATATACCCCTACAAAAAAATTTCATTACATATTTTTCCTCATTAATACTGCCAACAACTAAATTTGTGACATAAGACCAAACCAAAAGAGCTCCCTAGACATGGCTAGCTATGGCGCTCCAGTAAAGCATAAAATTAAACAAATTTAATGGCAAAGCCAAAGGATTGAACTACATAAGAAAAAGGAATATAACTTGGTGTATGGTATATACATACCCGCATTTCCCCCATTGGTGTACGGGCACGCTTATTGTGACCCATGTTCTTACTTCTGTCCTCTAACTTTTGGGTTGCGAGATCTGGTGAGTTTCGGTGTGACTGGGCTCCCATCTTCAGCAAGTTTGAACCACCTGATCTTTCGTTTGGCAATTGCTTCTTTGAGTTTGAAGCTTCAAAATACTTGTTCAATTTATTTAACGAATCATCCAATCTTTTGACCCTAGTCCTGCATTTAGCATTAGCATACCTCTTTTAAGCATAAAATCAAATCTAGGCAAAAAGACACCCACATTTGAAGCGCAAATACAATGCTAACACTATAGATGAATAAATAAAAAGACAAAAGGATAACATCAGTATAACTTTCAGCACATGAATGTTTCTCCTGCATAAATATACTGGGTTTACATAAAATACTCCAAAGGGAGATAGTATAACCAAAATCATCAAAATGATACAAGACCACTGAATTATATGCATGCATTTAGCATTAATAAGTACCTAGCCTTCAGAGATCCTTCATAAACACCTGCTTTCAAGCGTTTCAATTCTTCAGTAGCCGAATTCGGTGGAGGCTTAGCATGACCTGCTCCAAGAGAATTATCTTCAGAGGCATTACCAAAGGAATAACCTAATGCCCTCTTCAATTCACCTGCCCGTATATTTTTCAGATCTCCCATTGTAATGGGCTCCAGAACCAAACACTGGGATAATGGTGGCAAATCGGCCATCGGTGAAGCATTCATTTTCGATGTGCCAGATCCAGAGCTATAATTCCTACCATCACTTCCCTCACGAAAGCTTCCGGACCTATCCAAAGTAGGACCCGCATAACTACTTCGCTGTCCATTTGAATAGCTCCCTGAAAAGCCTGAATTATCCGGACTGGCAGAACTCAATTCAAACTTCGCATTTCCAGCCATTAGCTCAAGTCCAAATACTAACTCATGTCCAGTAAAACTTATAAATTTCTACCCCAGAACAACTTAACTAGCTAAAGTATCAGCCCATCAACGACCCATGATTCCTCAAGTACCAAGTCAAGGACACAACCCACAGTCCAATAAGCCCATAACTCAGACCAGAATTTAGCAAACAATCTGTCAAAAATAGCAATAAATGAAGCCATGATACACATTAAATAAAGGAATTAAGAACAAAAAAAGGCTATTTACTTATTCCTCCACCCAAAATGTCCCAAGATACCTACTTTCCTTACTAAAAAATTGCTTGCAAAGATTAAACACATCAATAATCACACTGATCATCTTTCCAAAAAATTCAGCAAAAATCTAAGAAAATATTAATTTAAAGCAAGTAATAAACATAATTAATAAACCCAATTGGATTCGAAAAATATCAGCTAAATCATGCCAAAAAAATAGACAAAAAAATTAACAAATTAAGCAACTAATAAACAACTAGAGTACCACAAATCAAGTAAGCAAACAAAAATAATTACCTAAAAAATTCAAAACCCTAGCTCAACCAAAATTAGGTTTTTTTTTTTATTTTAAATAACCCAAATTGAGCAAGATAAAAATCTCATATATGCAAAACAAACCCATCCTGGGCCTAAGAAAAAAATAACTATTTTCATGAATTCGCCTGACATTAAAGAGTTATATAAACCAAAGCCTGCAACATATTAACAACCAAAGTTGACTCAATTATCAAACTAAACTCGATAAATTACGCTAATTTTTCTTCCTTAACAATATGAATTGCAAAATTATAGCAACGAGATCGCTCGTTATAATCTTTCGTAACTTCAGTAATTACAATCAATAGTTTAATAATCCAACTTAGAAGAACCCTAAATTGACTATAACTGAAAATTAAATTAACAATTAAACACTAGATTGTGAAATTGAAATTCGATGATTGAAATATAAAACATCTTACCTTAGAAGCTGCTTCAATTGTAGAGAAAAAGCTTCGAAGCCGCTTCAATGGAGAATTCAGAGTACGCTTCAATGGAGGAGAGAGAAGAGGGGGAAGGGGTGCAGCGCAAACGTGAAAAAGATCGAAAGGGGGAAAAGAAAAATATAGATCTAAGACGAATATTAATGACACGCCTATAATATCAACTCATATCTATACTATATATTAGAAGGCGTTTCTTTTAAAGGAACGGTGTCACGTGACACTCTTCAACTTATATGACACCATGTCACAATGTCACGTCACTATTCGAAATACATGCGACAAGTAAGCTTGCAAAAGTTATGCACTTACCATCTCAACCAACTTTTATTAGTGTTTTAAATTTCACATAATTAACATTATATATTCCTTTTAAATTAGATTTTATTTAATTTATTTATTCTTCACAAGATTGAAAATAAATACATATGAGGTAAAAAAAAAACCGTAACTTCCTAGGAATGCCCGTATCACACACTAGTTATACAAACAGTTGAACATAATTATCAAATTAAAGAAGTACAAAGTACAAACTAACAATCCAAGGCATCACCCGGGACACACTCTAGTTTGATATTAAAAACTGACTCGATTTGAAAATTTTAAGTTAAATTGAGTCTGGTTTCAGTCGATAAGCCTCGAATTCAAACCCATCTTATATAGTCAATTTGAAATTTTACTTATCAACCACCCACTTTATAACAAAAAACCTTTTAATCAAAATCATTTATATCCAAAAATTACATAATATTACTCGACATTATAATTACTTAGTACCAAATTGTTATTATTATTACTCAAAATCACTTGTTCAATACATATAAACTTAACTTTTATTTAATCTAGTGAGTCTTAGACTTGACATGTTATTAATCCAACCTTTTTAGTTTTTAACTTGAATTCAAATCCACGAATTTGTTTATAATGACTAAGAGCATCAACAGCGGTAGAATATTAATGCACTGGTAGAAGCTAGCTAGTCTGGAAGAAATATTTGTAGCTTGCTCAAACTTACATGGTTAGCCAAAGCCATATAGTTTCACAAGTTCCAAAGTTATTGAGCATGAAAAAAGCATTGTCAACAATGAGAGAAAAATCTCTCTAAAATCCTCATTTTCCTCGTGAGGAAATTTGGTGAGGAAATTTTATCCCACCAATGATAAAAATAAAAAATAAAAATAAAAATTCCTTACCACTCTCTCTCTTACTTTTTTCAATATCCCACTAACATTTTCTCTCTCCTACAAATCACCATATTTTATTAACTTATGTTTTTATTAAAATACTTCCTCCGTTTTTCTTTTATTGTACCATAAGGACTTTTACACTATTCACATAATCTTCTTTGACCATCTTTTGTGATTTATCCGTAAAGAAAAACATAGTTGTGTGAGGTCTAGTTAGATACGTCTCGAAATCTACTTTTCAAATATCAAATTTTTATAATTTTTAATAAAGTATAATTAAAGATATTAATAGTCAAAATAATGCATTGGCAAGCGTGAAATCCCTTATGGTGCAATAAAAAAAGAACGAAGAAAGTATATACTTTTATAAAATAACGATTAGGAAACAAATAAATCTAATTATAATTAGTAATTATTTAATTAATTATTTGACAGTAATTATTAGTTTAATTAAGAATTTACACGAACAATCAACCATTTGATTAAAAACTCATTTATTTTTAGAAGTTTGATAACATTACAAAGATAAATATATTACGACTACATTAATTTCAATTACGGGATGGGCTTGTGGTTGGGAAAGCAACATAGTTGGTAAGTGGTTTGTGAAGAGTTCGTCAACTAGTTCATCAAATTGTGCATATTTATCCAAATCAGATGAATTAGAGGTTGAGCTAATGGAAGACATTGTATTTGTTTGAAATCTTGGATTTTTTTGGTGTGGGTTGTGGATAGATCGTTTATTAAGTATATATAGCAATAAACCAGAAATATGAATGACTATTTGATTAGGAGATTTTCCCCCAACCAATCACTGTCTGCCACGTGGACCAATCAGGTCCTGCCATGTGTCCGCCACATGGACCAACAAGGACCTGACACGTGTCAAGAAGAAATCAGTCCAGCATGGACCAATCGTGCCACGCCACGTGGCCCATGACATGCCAACTTGGAGAACGGCCACCAAGGCCCGATTTCCGAGGCAAGGCCTAATCAGTCCTAGGTTTACCTAAAACCTAGTATTGGACACACGCTTCGAGGCTATAAATACAGTATTTAAGCCTCCATTTAACACATTGAGAAAGAATCATCTCACCAAGAGAAGCCTAAGCACACGTGCATACTAATCGCTAGACCAAACTTAGCATTATTTGCACTTCCTTATCACTCCTCTCCCTAGAGGAACCAGATCACCCTTTTACTTTTCGCACCTTTTTACTCCATATACCAGTACTAACTTGATCGTCGGAGGCGGAGCTCCCACCACCCGAAGTCTTCGTTGTTTTGCAGGTACAGACGCACGGATCTAGTCCCGAAATTGTAACTCTCCCGCAGGACATAAAAAAACCCCGAAACATTTTTCCGCCGTCTGTGGGGAGAGTACTTTCGAGATGGAATCACAGTCTGTATCGATTTTAAGTGACATGCGTCCCATGGATGACCCTCAGGTCTACACTGACCAGGATACAGATAATGATACCGAGGTCGAGACTCGCACGACCCCTGACGGGACCCTTAGAGCTCGACGCACCCGTCCCACCGAAAGGAGGGAACGGGAGGACTGCCTGGCTGGATCTAGTAAACCAGCCGGCCAGCCGCTTGACCATCAACAAGCGACCGAGGGATCTGCCCCCATCACTAAAAGAAAACTCATGACCTTCATGAATAGCTTCAAAGGGGAGATCCAAGAGCTGATCAATAAGAGGACGCCTGTTCCACCAAAGGAACAGTCGGCCAGAAGACCCTCCCAATCTGGGAGGAAGAAGCTTGTAAAGGATTGGGAGGCAACCCCTTACCCTAAGCCTAGGGAGAGGGGGGCGCCAGTGATCGACCTAACTAAGTATCGCTTTCCCTCACCAGGGAAGAGAAAGCCCATTCGTCATATTCAGCCGGATGGGTCAAAGAGAACATTTTTTGATGCTCGAATGTTGCTTGAGTAGAAGAAGAGTGACCGACTGTCAAAGTCGTCCTTTACGTCTGATTTTCAGGACAGCCCACATAATACCTCCCTGAGGTATTCAAGATTAAATTATGAGAGCCAGACGCCCGAAGCCTCCTCTCGTTCTGCTTCCCAAAAGCATTAGGTGGCCCTGTATGTCCCTCAACCATACGTCCCGCGGTCCCAATACTTCATGTAACCTACTCTTTTTGGAGGACAAGCGGCAAGGAATGTCCAGCCTTTGGACTGGCAACTTAGGTTGCTCAAACTTGGAGAACAACCATCCGCCTTTTCTAAGGAAATAATAGAGGCCGCTCAGCCGGCCAAAGTAAAAAATGTGTTGGTAGAGGCATATGATGGCACTACCAACCCAGAAGATCACATGATGGCATACACCAACTTAATGTACCTCCAAGGGTTGGATGATGCCACATGGTGCAAGTGTTTCCCGGCCACTTTGAAAGGAGTTGCCCAACAATGGTTTGGCAACTTGCCGGCCGGGTGTATCAACAATTTTAAGACCCTCGCCTACTTGTTCACTTCAAATTTTGCAATGAACATTCCTGCTAAGAAGACCACCCTTGATCTAGGGGTCGTACAGCAGGGAGAGAAGGAGGGACTGCGCTCCTACATCAAGAGGTTCAGTTTGGTTCGACATGGAAATGTGAGTTGAATGTTTCATTACCTATTGCAATATGATTATGTATCTTTTGTTGCTAAGTTAATGAGGGATCTAAGCTTAGTAATCTGAGTTGTTTTCATATCGTTTGATGTTGATCTTACATGTGGTCTTTGCTATTCCATTACCCTCATTCCTCCCTATTTTCCTAATTGCTATTGGTTGAGTGAATCCCATTCCCCTAGTGTTTTAATCCCTTGAATTCAACCTTTAGTTGTAGTTTGTTAGTTAATCACCACTTATACCTTGATTTCGATTCAGCTTGAGCATTAAGATTATTTAGCATTTGATTCCCGTTCTCCGTGGACCGAACCTTTGCTTGCCATTGTACTTGTTTGAGTGAGGTGTTTGTTATAAATGTGTTTGAATGAGCCTAAATTGTGCGACCGATTTAGCGCTCGTCAAAATGGCGCCGTTGCCGGGGAGCGGTGTTGTTGATTTCTATTTGATTGCTTGAGTCTAATTCACCTTTGAAAAAAACACAAAAAGAGTTGTTTTCCTTTTTGGCTACGCTTGTAGCCTTGCTACTAATTGTGTTTGTTGAGTGCGTATGCGTAGGACTCAACATCGTGAGTTGGTGCCTTACGATCCCGAGATTGAGCAAACCCTTAGAAGAAGAAGGAGATCTCGTTCGCGGTCCTCCACTTCCCCAAGAAGAGAATCCAACCCGGAACCACAAAGAAATCCAATGGGTGACAACCCACCACCACCACCTCCAAGACCTTTGAAGGAGATGGGAACTCCGGGAGCTTATAGAGCTTCAAGTGGGATTGCTCCCCCAAACACCCCGGCCAATGACTTCGAGATTAGGCCCGCAATGATAAATTTGATTGAGAGGAGACAATTTAGTGGAGCAAAACACGAGTGCCCTCTTGCACATTTGAACGAGTTTGAGAAATATTGCAACACGATCAAGGTGAATGGGGTCACTCAAGAGTTTGTGAGACTAAAACTATTTCCTTTCTCCTTAATAGGAAGGGCTCTCGAATGGCTTGAGAAGGAGGTGAGACCCAATTCTTTGAGGACTTGGGATGAGGTCACCACAGATTTCTTAGGGAGATTCTACTCTCAAAAGAAGACGGCCGAGGCAAGAGCTCTAATTCAAGGCTTTCGGCAAAGGGGTAGTGAGACTATCTATGAAGCTTGGGAGAGGTACAAGGAGTACCAAAGAGAGTGCCCTCACCATGGAATCCCAACATACCAAGTTTTACAAATCTTCTATGGAGGCTTGAGTTCTCAAGGCAAAACAAGCTTGGATGCGGGAGCCGGTGGGCCAATCATGAATAAAACCGAAGATCAAGTGATTGAGATCATTGAAGATGTGGTAAGGCACCACATG